CCCTAAATCCTAAATCCTAACCCAAACCCTAACCCTAACCCTAACCCAAAACCTAACCCAAAAATCAACCCTAAATCCTCACCCTAACTCTTCCCCTTCCAGAAATACAGGAAGTGATGAAACTGACCTGTTTTTCCCCCTCCAAAGGCTGAAGAGCCTTCCCTAGAGCCTCTGGGAGGCCAAAAAAGGCCTCAAACAGGCAAAAAATTAGCTGGGAAGCATGCGCATGCGCCGGTAATTTTGGCTGGGGCTCACGCATGCCATAGATTCACCATCATGGCCCTTTACCATTTCAGACAAATGGCTGTCCAGTCTCTTCTTAAAAACCTCCAGTGATGGAGCATTCACTCCGCTATTGGCTGTTGCTTCCTTGTAATGTCAAGTCCTTGGCTTCTAAGTAGCTGATAAATCAGCACTCCTGTTGATTGACAAGTCATTTCCCAGCTTTGGTTTTGTTTGGCACTTCCAGATAATATTACCCACACTCCATAATCCTTCTTAAATAGGATTATGAGCAGCCTTCAATAAACTAAGCCATTAGATCTGATGGGTAGCCTTCCCCATTGTGTAATCAATGTCCTCCCCAACCAAGGGAGAGTTCAAAGAATGTCAATCAATCAATGGTCTCTTCTTGGGGGCTTAGCTGATATTTTTTCAAGAAAAGAAGCATTTATTTGTTGGTCAAATATGTACAAGATAACAGGTATGGACATAAGCATGAACAAAGGGAGTAAATACAGATAAATGGGGACAGTAAGACAGGGACGATAGGCAGGTTGGTGCACTTATGCACGCCCCCTTTAAGGACCTCTTAGGAATGGGATGAGGTCCACGGTAGACAGTTTGAGGTTGAAGCTGTGAGAGGTTGAGGTTGTAACAATGGAGTCAAGTAGGCCGTTCCAGGCGTTGACCATTCTCTGTGGCTGAAGTCGTGTTTTCTGCAATTGATTTTGGAGTAGTTCACCTTGAGTTTGTGTCAGTTATTTGCCCGTGTATTATTGTGGTTGAGACTGAAGAAGTCATTGACAGGCAAGACGTTGTAGCAGACAATTTTGTGAATTATGCTTAGATTGGACCTCGGGCAGCGGAGTTCTAGATTGTCCAGGCCCAAAATTTCGAGCCTGGAGGCATAGGGAATTCTATGATGAGTGGAGGAGTGGAGTACTTTTCTTGAGAGATACCTCTGAACCTGCTCAGTTGTGTTAATGTCGGATAGAAGAGCTGTGGTGGCGCAGTGGTTAGAGTGCAGTACTGAAGGCTAATTCTGCTGACTGCCAGCTGACTGCAATTTGGCAGTTCAAATCCCACCAGGCTCCAGGTTGACTCAGCCCTCCGTCCTTCCGAGGTGGTAAAATGAGGACCCAGATTGTTGGGGGGCAAGAGGCTGACTCTGTAAACTGTGTAGAGAGGGCTGGAAAGTGGGATTATAAATCTAAGTGCTATAGCTAGAGGTCCTTCCCTCCCTCTCCTTCCTTCTTTCCTTCCTTCCCTTTAAGCTTCCTGCTGCCCTCCATTTCCCTTCCCTCCCTCCCTCCCTTCTCTTTAATTTTCCTTCCTCCCTCCCTCCCTCCCTTCCTTCTTTCCTCCCTTCCTGCCTTGCTTCCCATTAATCTTCCTCCCACCCTCCCTTCTCTTTCATTTTCCTTCCTTCTTTCTTTCCTTCCTTCCTTCCC